GTCTCAACCTTCCTAATGCCGCGACCCTTTAATACGGTTCCTCATGTTGTGGGACCCCCAATTTCATTGTTACAAATTGAACATATTTAAAGCATAGTGATTAATCACAAAAACAATATGTAATTATATATGTGTTTTCCGATGGTCTTAGGCGACCCCTGTGAAAGGGTTGTTCAACCCCCCCAAAGGGGTCGCGACCCCTAGGTTGAGAACCACTGCCTTAAAGCGTAAACACCCTGCTCCTAGCAAAGGCACACCGTCTGGCCCACACTGATAAGACACAAGTTGTTTGCTACTGGCTATATAAGCACCAGACAAACAGGAATGCATCAACCTAAGCTAGAGAGGCCTTGAGATGTGCAATCTGTGGGCCCACAGGCTCTTGGCTCAAACACAAGGCTCATTTCCAGGAGCCCACGGCCCCCAGATCCCACCCTCAGCAGCCTAGAAAACCCTAGAATCAAAGGCCTTTCTCCCCAGAGGTCCGACTGACCTTACCAAAGGCAAATCCTGGGACCCTCACCGCTGTTCTTCACAGGCCGGGGACCCTCACCGCTGCTTCTTCACAGGCCGGGGACCCTCACCGCTGCTTCTTCACAGGCCGGGGAACCTCACCGCTGCTTGCTTTCCACTGGTCTAGCCAAGCCAAGAGTTTAAGCCAAATGAAGAGTGAACCGGGCTTTTACTTCCTGTTTTAACTAAGTGCCACCCCCTACATTTCATAATAAGGCTGGTAGAACCAAGAAATTGTTAGTTTTACACTTGTGCACTGCAGACTGGTGCAGCCACTGTGGAAGACAGTATGGCGTTTCCTCAAAAAACTAAAAATGGAACTCCCATTTGACCCTGTGATCCCACTTTTAGGAATATATCCCAAGAAAACAGAAACACCAATCAGAAAGGATATATGCACCCCTATGTTCATAACAGCACAATTCACCATAGCTAAGATCTGGAAACAGCCTAAGTGCCCATCAGTAGATGAATGGATTAGAAAACTGTGGTACATCTACATGATGGAATCCTATGCTGCTCTAAAAAGGAAGGAACTCTTACCATTTG